CTGATAGTAAATATACTATAGAATGTCTTTATATACAACAATCACAGCTTTTTTGCTATTAGACAATACAAACTGGCCGGTACCGCCGCAACTGCTATGTCCCTGCATTTTAAGTGTTTAATATCTTCCAAATATATTCATTTAAATTACATGCTGTAAAGGGTCATATTGATCTATATTAAATGCACAATGTATTTAAAAGTACTTAATTGAATAAGGATTAATGCTGTATTGCTTAAAATCGCTTCGTAAATAAGCCATTATTTCTCGTAAAAAGTAAAGGATAAAAAATTGTTACTGTGGGTTATCCCTAAGCGATAGATTTCTCTACTATATTATGCATGTATTATACATATAAACCTTCCGTTTGAATTACTCTATCGATTAAAAAAAGCCGCATTAAAATCCGTTGCGTAGTTTTAAAGATCTAGGCATACACAGGGACAGACAGCGGGGGAAATGCGTTGCATGATTTCGTTACATAGCAACTCGCATGAAACAAAGTTACTCTACCGTGCGTAAGGAAGTTTCACTTCAACAAGAACAAAATTACTTTAAATTACGTAAATAGTTGAAGTTTGTTATACTGACTGTAGTCAATAAAAATATTAAATTTTCTAACTCAGCATACTTTAATGCATCAACAACTGCTACATTCATACCATATCTTTTGCCTTAGCTAGTGCCATTGTGGAGGGTTTTTAAACTGTCATTTACCGCTTATAGCTGGACACCTTTTCAAAATCCCTCCTGCTAGCGGAAGAATAATTATTCCGTAACGAATATGACGCAACCTCTTCAAACTAAATCTTTCTTAGCATCTTTTTGTGTAAGTGATCATTGATCAATATGACCCCTTACATGCTAACTGCACATCTACATACGTGCTAACCTAATAACTTAAAATGACCCGTATGTTCTATAATCTATAGAGTTGTCATTTAGTCTTATTAAGGGACTGAATATTCATATTTGGAACGTTGTTTTTTTTGATTCATTATAAGACGATTTATTTGAAAATAATTGTGTTTATTTAGAAGATTTTCATCAGTAGTAGATATTATTATTCCGACTTCTCTTTATGATTACTTCACAAACTTATATTATCTGCAGAAGCAGTATAGAAAGTATATATATACCCTCTCATATCAATACAATACAGTAGAAATAGAAATGGACCAAGAACACTTCCTTGCGGTACACCTAGTTACATTTAGGTTATTTGAACTACAGACAAGATACTGGGCAAACCGTTTTCTAGAGGTTAAGTAGTCATTTAATAAATTGGTATAAAGCACCTTAATGCCGAATTCCTCAATTTTATTAAACAGTATTTTATGTTGTACACAGTCAAACGCCTTTGATAAATTTATAAACAGAGCAGCTCTTTCACAAGTTTTATATAAATGTTTACATATTTTATCAATAGTGTTTCGTAGTGCACTGTGATTGTAGCTTCATTTGCACGAAAACCATAATGGTGTTGTTGTTACCTTCCAAAAAGTATTTCATTTTGTCAGCTTATAACTTTTTCGATAATTTTTGAAAAAACTGTCAACAGAGATACTGATCGATAATTATCAATTAATTTTGGATTTCCCACAAGTTTTATTTATTTATACCACAAAAATTGTTTCGGTATATAGCGCCTGTTTGATAATAAAGCTGACTTTCTTCTCTTGAGGAGTTTATTCAATAATAAAATAACAAATTCTTTTTAATATTTGTGTAAGAAAAATATAAACTGAAGATATAATTCGTTTTGTAACATGTATAGTTTATACTAGTCTTTTTTCGATTAGTACTTTTTATGCACTGTTGGTGCACTTTTTATTTTTTGCAACCTGCAGTAGGGTAGTTTGGTGGTGGTACACTCGCGCACCCGCACTCATTCACTCGCCCGAACAGTGCCTCTATCAGGGAGAGAAGTAACTAATCTAAGAAATGGCTTCTTCACTTGGAGAAGACATTTTGTGCCGAAACAATTACTGTGGTATCTGTAAACAAAGGTTTTGCAGTTCAAAATTTAATAAAATATTTTATTGCATTAATAAAACGACAAATGCTTTATTTATTTATTCAATAAATGTGAAGGACACATTAGCTAGCGATTGTGTGCAAATAGACACTTTAAAAATGTGATATTTAACTTGACATTTGATATTAAATATTGCATTCTTGATTTAATAGAGTCGATAATAGGCAGCTGCGCTGTTGTACTCTATAAAGGCGTTAAAAATTGGACTCTCATCGTTAACACGTTGTCGGCTTGAGTCCATTCTCTTTTTTGATATAAATGCTACAGTTATAAAGTCGCGGGTCGTTGAAAGAGAAACGTGATTGCGGTTTTTTAACACCGAAGAAAGCCATTTCATTCTTGAAGTTGTTGGTTGGAACCGAGCGCTTACGCAACGTCATTAATTAAGTATTTAAAAGAAGAATTTTACAACAGATTCCGTTCCGTTAGACATATTTAACGAGATCCTTTCTTTCTATTATTGGAGCATTCTCTGTTTAATTATAAACAATAAAAAGATTTAAATTTTATTGTCGTTCAAATTTTAACGACAGTACTGACGTGGAGTGGGTTTACCTGTTTGTTTTGACTTTTCAGAAACAATATTCTTTGCTGTACCGTTACATTCGTGTTTTGATTTTTTGGCGATCGACTGCTGCAGGTCTCTGTAATATCGTCTGCGGGCCGTTTCATATTGACTGTGAGTACTTTCCACTAACACAAACAAGTACAGAAATAAAACAAAAATAGCCGGTTTGGTTTTCATGAATTCGCGAGTATTCTTGGATAAATAAGTTGGAAGAATGTAACGACATAAATGACAAGAACGATTACATAAAGTTACTTGACATATTTCTAGATTGTCAACTGATTTTTCTAAAAAACGAACCAAGTAGATTTTATTATCGTAAATATTTTACAATCAGTAGAGTCTAGTCAACAATTACCTACACTTCTAGTTCGCCTTCACCGAAAATTATGGTTGATTGGAAATAGAAACCTTTGAAGCAGGTGGCGTTCAAAAAAAATGTAGAAGTTATAAATAATTTAATAAAAAAAAAAACAATTGTGTCGTTTTATGAAACCACGATGCAAGTGAAACTTTTCGGATTGTAGGTATTTAACTGTAAAATTTCGGAAAATTATTCCATTCAGCGTATTAAAATTAAAATCGCGTTCTTAATCTTATCTTAATGAATGGAAAATCGGAAGGATAATGGAAAATCAACAGTAGACACTATAAATTTTAATTTCAATCTGCGTATGAGTACGGAATACATAATAAATGCAATCATTCAGATGATAGACGCATGTTAAAAACTGAGAATAATATTTATTTAAATCATTGAATCATTTTTAACTTCAGTTATTCTATTAATAATTTCATCTTCGCTTTGAGTTTCACAGTCTATATATATGTAATTGTCGTGCACTTGCACGAATGAGTGAGAATATAAATGCTACACGGTTGGCTCATGCGCCATATTGGCTTTGACTGCTTTGCCGAGCGCCTTTCAGTTTTACCCCTCCTTCGCTGCCGGCTGTAAGGCAACGTGCAATAGATCGATGAAAAAATTTGAGACGATGTAATAAAATTTTCACTTTAAAAAGATTTCGTTATTTAAAGACTATTTCAGATACTTGCGACAAATTAAGAAAATACACTAAAAGAGTTGGAAATCCCCTAAAAACAATTCCCAACTTCTGGTAGTATTTAAGCAAAATGTACCATAACATAGGTAATAGTCAACATTCGCTGCTCTGATTGGTAGAGACCATACGCCGGTACCTTTTTGCCAAAAGTGACTAACAATAAAACGTAGTACGTTTTACGCATACCTTGGTCGGACCAAACGCGGGCATATTTGCCAAACGTTAATAAAACGTGGTGCATTATTCAATGATAAGCCTTTCACTCGACCTAATCAACAATATAGTACTTATACGCAATAAAATTTATTACTTTTGGACTTTTTAGGAATAAGTACAATTTAAAGGCAAAATTATACTAAATAAATCCAAGTTGACGGTTCGATATGACAGAAATAAAGTTTTACTGCCATTGCATATGCGGCTTTCCTATCTCGTTGCATCGTTTTCATTAGACACATGTTTTTTATCAAACATGGTGCAACTTTTATATTTATATGTAACAGCCATCCGTTCCATTATAGATATTTATAACATGTTAGTCTAATCTGAATTACATGTTTAAAAACGTCCTTATAACATTTGCAGTCTTTTGTATATAGCATATTTATTAGAACACGTGAAAGGTTTATCGATATTTGGTGTAAGGCATATGCACCACGTTTTAGTAAAATTCGACAAAAAGAACCAGTGTTTGGTCTCGATCAATCAAAGCAGCGAACTATTTACTATACATATAAATGCTTTTTGGAACTAAACTACTAATTATGGTGTATTATTAGGCAGGAAGTTAAAAAAAAAGGTGATATAACTCGACAAGAGGAGACGAAAAGACTGACTTAATTAATTAATGTGGCTGACTTTAGGTTGCAAATTGAAAATAAATATCTGTATTTTGAATCAGTGACAGTTAATTTAATAATTTGATGCTTTCTATGAGTGAAATTTTAACTAGACAACCTCAAATAATATTAATTAAGTTTCATTTTACATATGTATAAGCCTTAAAAGTAAAATTCTCCATTTTTTATCTTAGTTTGGGTAAGAATTAGTAAAAAATCTAGACAGTTAAGGGTTGAAAGGTTTAGATTTGTGTGTAGAATCAACACCGACGTTTCGTCTTGAATTGACAAGTTTTATCAAGGCTTTATGTTCATTTTTTCACAAAAGTAAGTGAGCGAAAACACGTGTCCTCGTTTTCTAAAATTATTGTAGGGAATTTGGGGTAAGTCTTCAAATATGAAAAAAAAGATCTAAGTTTTTAAAACCCCTAACAGCAGTGATAAATCCGTTTGTAGAGTCAGTAGAATTGACAATCTCCATTCTAATTCAATAATAATTATTTATTTGACAGCACACAATGCAATCTTAACCTAGTTAGAATTTTAACCACCAGACGTCGTGACCAAAGTATCAGAGATCCCAGGGCCCATTCTATTAACTGCAACACCTCACTTCTTTCTAGCAATACGCCACAAGACTCAAAAACAAAAAAAAAAAGATAAACTCGTGGAATCGTGTGTAAACGATTAATTTTTCTTTGTAAGGAGTATGGAATTCTAAAAATTAAACAGCATAAAATTTGGATAATGATTCGTTTTGTACTTATTACTGAATGAAATTAGTAAACAATGAGGAAGCTTTCTGTATTATTTCAAACGGCTCTTTTCTAATTTGTGAATGAACATGTTTTCGTCAAAAAAAAAGAAAGAAGAGATGACGCGTTGTCGCAATTCCCACCAGTGGGTCTCTTCAATGCTTTTCAAGGCTGTAACTGGGCATTTTGAAATGTTAAAATCTAAAAAAAATTCCTCCAGCTACAGGCGCTGCCATATAGGGCTGTGTGGAACTTGCACTTGATGGCTTCAACATTCAGCACGTACGGCTTAAAGTAAATGCTATTGGTAAATCGCGATTAATTCTTTACGGTACGTACTTCACAATCTGGTTTATACCCAACGGACGGCAGTTTCTTTTACTTTATGGTATACCACTGTGACAATGATGAAAATCCTTTACGACACGCTGCATTTTCAAAACTAATTAACTACATAGTATTTTCATAACGTAATACTAACTTTTACCATCATTTTCTGAGCTGGGCATTAAACCAAAAACTATTTACAAATTAACATTAACAAAAATTAATATTGTATCAATGTTGTAGTCGTGGTATATAGCAACGAATTATATATATATTTATTTANTAATCTAATATTAAATGCGAATTTATATAATTCAGAATAACTCAGTCAAAAAATTAACATGTTAGTTAATAGATAAAAACAATTTATTTACTCTAAGAATAATAATAATTTCATAATATAATAATAATATTGACCTGTCTTATTATATAATTGGGGAACGTAGAGAATGACAGGGAACCATCACAAGATGAGCGAAGTCGCCTCACTAGCCTGCATCATTTGCTTCTTTGTGATTGTGGATTCAACTTCCCACTTGGGTGTTTCATTCCCAACAGCTAGTAATGTTGGCGAGCCTCCTTTCAGAAATCGTGGGAATGGGTGGGTGGTAGTTCAAGTGAGAAAGATGAAATGAAGACAGAAGAGAATGAAAGATTATCTGTGGAATATTACAGGCGGTCCACCTCTGAAGTGATGGGCGGACAATCGCACTAAAAAGCGAAGAAACCTCTAGGCCAGTGATTCCAAATCTGGGGGTAATTACTCCCGTGGGGGTAAAGCAATTATTCTGTGGGGGTAACAAAGAACCTAATAATTAAGACCTAAAATACGTAGCTAGATAGTAAAAATATAAAATTATAAAGATGTCGATGTTTATACAACTGTATGCACAATTAGTAAATATTGAAAAAACAAGATCACATTTAAAAATTCTGTGGTTCGGCATTTATCTGTAGCAATAAACTCATTGAAGCAGTATTTTCCGGATATAGATAATCGTCAGTCCAGTTCTTGGATATTAAGACGATTTACTACTGATGATAACATTAAAAACGAAGACGTAGCGGCCAAAGTGGAATATTTTGGACTACGCCAGATTACTACTTACAGAGTAGAATTTCAAAATTATGATCTTAGCACATTTTGGCGAAAAGCTGGTGCCGAATATCCTGCTCTAGCTAAGAGAGCTTTAAAAATGCTAATACCCTTTGCCAGCACCTATATATGTGCGAGTGGTTTTTCAATTTTGGTTACACTGAAAACAAAAACCAGAATCCTTCTAAATGTGGAACATGACTTAGGATGCGCTTTAAACGAAATTAAAGCTAACATAAAAATACTTGAAAAATAATACCAACTATTTTTGCTTAATTTATTGTTTAGGTATATAAAATTGTAAGACTGATGTGCAAATTGTGATTATTAAAGATATCTGTATTTGCTTGTGTTGTTTGTATTGATAACATTTTAAGGACAGGGTAAAATCAGTTTTCTTAATAGGTCAGAGGGGTAACAATATTAAATAGGTTAGGAACCACTGCTCTAGGCCATGCCGCTCGGTCTAGCAACTTGGCTGCTTTCAGAAATAAATACTCCAAACCATTCAGAAATATATATATAAATGACACCAGCTGCTGGCGTGACGTTGAGTGTTCATTTATAAATTTAAAGAAATTTATCCCGGACGCATCTAGAACTTTAAAAATTGACAAAACTAATAATATGGTTAAAAATTACCTTTAATTTAAATTATACATTCGTAATATGAAATGTTCATAAGCATGCGCCTCATGTGTTTAGTGTAATAACAAAATGCATTATTATGTATAAATATCAAAAGTTAACCTATAAACATGTTCACCTGTAAAAAATATGTCTTGCCAGTTTTTAGTACAAGACGGAGAGGACTTGGTTTTCAATGTCGATTTTTTGACGACCTTTCGCTCAAGGCCCCCGATCTACCAATTTAGCCTCTCCTGGCAAAAATAATATTTGCCGCCCTTTATAATAATACGTCGTGAGTATGTTGTTCCAGAGACGGGATGGTGCAATTTTGCAATTGCCCTAAAACGTAGGATAAAAGGGTACTTCCCAAAAAATATTATATTATCTGCAAACAAACTATCAGAAATATTTACTTCTCTCAACGTGGATGGGATAAGAGTTGCCAGTTCTGAAATGTAAAATTGGTAAAGAATTCGAGAGAATTTTCTTGTATTCTCAAATCAAAAATCGTGAAAAATCATTACATTTCGGGTTCCTTCTTTCGTAATTTTC